TGCTTAATTTTTATTTCAGTAAAGTTTAAAAAAAAAAAGGAGCTGTGCTGCTGACTCGGGCCACGCCTCTCTTACGGTTCAGTTCCACAAGGGGCTCTGTGTGGTTCACAGCCTCCAAAAACCCGCTGAGGGTCAGCTATGAGTTGGTTCCAAAGGGACGGCATTGAATTCACGTTTTTGGAGTTGTCGTGGGTCACAGTGGATTATTGTTGGGTCTGTACTGACCAGAAGGCCATCGTTTGAACCCACCATGCCTCCTACCGCAGAAGGATGAGCCAGTTCCTCCTGTGAAGACTGGCAGCCTTCGGCCAGAACTGGCAGTTCCCAGGCTGTCTGTCAGCGTCACCGTGGGTTAGAACCAACACGGTCACAATGGGCTGCGTTTTGTTGTTACTGTTGTTTTTATTGTGTGTTAGGTAAATGTTTACACAACAAATTAGATACTCACTTAACATTTGTCTTATGACTTGTTCCTTTGAGATGATTCTCTGATTTTCGCTTTCACGGCATCTGCATTCTCATTTCTTCTGTTCTGTGTGTTCTCACTGACCTGGCGTCTCCACCTTCCTCACCTTCTTGTCTTCCTTGCCTTTTTGTCTTTGCTTTTTTTAGGTAAATGTTGACCCTTTGGTCTCCTGTTGTTGATTGATTATTACCTGTGGGTGATAACTACTTGTTCTATAAACCAGTCAATTTTATTCAGTCCCCAGAGCACAAATGAGTTCTCCTAAAAGTGTAAATAAAATGTGTACATAAGTCAGAGCCTGTTCAATTAGGTAGGTGTCATGTTTAATATGTTGTTGTTGTCGAGTCCCATTGAGTTGGAACTGACTCTCAGCTGACCCTTCAGCAGGTTTTCAAAGGCTGTTAATCACCTGGGAGGAGATTTCTCATCCTTCTCCCGTGGAACAGCTGATGGACTCGAACTGAGTGCCTTTCAAGATTTCAGTGCAATTTCTTTCCACTAGGCCACCAAGCTCCCTATATCTAATATAAGTTGGTTAATACTGTAAAGTGAACACCTTTGTATGTATAAAACCTTCCAGATATACTAAACATCTTTAGTGTAATGATAGTTATGATGCATGCAGCAAAATTTTGAAGTGTCCATTTGTTATTAAAAACCATTGATTAAATACATACATACATACATACATACATATCCATTGATAAACCTCAAATTTTTAACGTAACAAATTTTACTAGGTTTGGTTTTTAACTCTTGGTAATATGTAATTCAGGTGTTCATAGCCCAGAATTTGTCTCTGACTGAAAGATGATCTCCAGAAACCATTTCTGTTCCTGAGGTTACACTGGGGTAATAGTCTCAGACATTCCTCTAACCTCTGCTGATCCAGTAGGTCTAACTCTTAGAAGTTTAGATTTTCCACCACAAATAAAGGTAAAAAACCCAGTTGCAAAATGGGCACAAGATATGAACAGACACTTCACCAAAGAAAACATTCAGATGGCGAACAAATACATGAAGAAATGTTCAAAATCCCTAGCTCTCAGAGAGATGCAAATCAAAACAACTGTGAGATATCATCTCACCCCAGTAAGGATAACAAAATTTAGCAGAAGAGCAAACATTAATGCTGGCGAGGTTATGGAGAAACTGGAACCCTTTTTCACTGTTGTTGGGAGTGTAAAATGATGCAGCCACTATGGAAGGCAGTGTGGCACTGTCTCAGAAAGTTTCAGATAGAGATACCATTCATTTGACTCAGCAATTCCACTACTGAGAATATACCCTAAAGAAACCATAACTGCCATCCAAGCAGATATATGCACACCCATGTTTATTGCCGCTTTGTTCACGATAGCAAAGTGTTGGAAACAACCTAAGTGCCCATCAAAAAACGAATGGATAGAGAATCTATGGTCTATTCACACAGTGGAATACTACGCTGCACTGACAAAAATGAATTCCTGCATTATTATTCAAAATTAGCAACCCTGGAGGATATTATGCTGAACGAAATATCTCAGTCACAAAAGGAAAACTACTGCATAGTGCCACTATTGTAAAACAGTACTGACATCAGGGTTGGGAGGAACTTAAGAGAAGAGGGGATAAATAATATGTGTTGCATTGAAACAGATGAGGGAACTGTTTAAAAGGAATATATTAGGTATTATTTTCATGACAAGAGTCCAGAATAAGAGCTGCATAGTAAAGTGAACTTGAGGGGGGCGGGAGGATTGTATAACAATCAAAGAATTTTTTTTTTCCTCTTCAAGGAGAAGAACTAACTGAGAGGAGGGGTGGGTAGGGAAGAAAGTGTGCAGCAATGTATGAATGGAAATCCAAAGTGTGTAAACTATCATTAAAATTTAAAAAAAAAAAGAATATATGCTCAAGTCAAAATCTCTCTAAAAAGAAGTTTGGATTTTCTTCCTCATTTTCCTCCTCACCAGCTTGGGATTTCCTAGCTTGCCTTTGGTCAGAGCAGATGGTGGTGTTAGCTGGGCACCATCTAGTTCTTCCGATCTCAGGTCAGAAGGGGCCATGGCTTGTGTGGGCTCTTGGTCCTGTGGACAGGTTGCTTCTTTGAGCTTTGATTTCCTTTATTACTCTTTTCCTTCTTACAAGCAGAGGCCAACAGTTTTATTGTAGGTGACAGCTTGCAAGCTTTTAACCCCACATCCCAAGATGTAGGCCATCTCTATGAGCTGTGCTGTGCCAGCCAGTAACAAACTTGCCCTGGGACTGTGGTCCTGAGAGCGTTTTAACCCAGTAAAGCAGACCTCCAGGCTGTTTGGGTCTACCTGGGACCCCCTATCACTGTGCCCGTGATGCACTTTGTTTGCTGTGTATGGATATTCCATGAAGAATAAGCAGCGTTGTAAGCAGACGTGTGACTCTCCCTTGAGGTACGCATGTTAACTTTTCTGTGAACACATGTGCTTCCTCAGGTGAATGTCTGCGCTGCATGTTCTGGAACAACCTTGGCTGCATACATTTCGCCATGAGCAAGCACAACCTGGGCATTTTCTACTTTAAAAAGGCTCTTCAGGAGAACGACAGCGTCTGTGCCCAGCTCAGCACCGGCAGCACAGACCCAAGTAAGTGCGGCCCCGGAGGACACTTGGGATTTACCAGCCGAGGAAGGCGCGGGTTAAAGAGCGAGGGGGCTGGTGTATGCCTCACGCCGATCCTGATTACACGTTTGACTCAACAGCACATTACTAGACCTTTTGCTTGAAGTAGCAAGGTGTTAGGCAAAACGCTGATTTCTTGATTAATGCCAAATGAGTTCTGTTAGTTTTTCAGGACTTCACATGTGACATGGCAATGTCTTGCAATCTTTCAGCAAGTTTGCAAAGTTTACTCCTTCAGTATTTATGTGGATTCTTGCTCTGAGGTACTTAATATCAAGTGTTGTTGTTGATTGCCTTTGAGTCAAGCACGACTCATAGCAACCCTATGAACAAAAGGCCTGAAGCCTTTCTTTAAACTACCAACATTTATCAATGTTCATAGGGTTTCCAGAGGCCTGTTCTTTAGGAAGTGGATGCCATTCCTGCTTCCAAATACTGAACTTCCATTCAAGCCCTTGCCATCCCCTCAGAGCTGCTCTGTATGTAGGACCCACTAGATCTTCCCCCAGGGTCTTCAGTGCACTCGGCTGCCTTAGCTTTCTCCCGTGGGCCAGCTGCTGGGCTCAAACCACTAACCTGACACTAGGTCCTCTACACAACCAGGACCTCTAGTGCTTTACTGTCAAAATTGTGTTCTGAAAACCAGAAACTATTTTATTGATGAGAAATATATCCACAGTCATACGCTGATTTATTAAAGACTATGAAACATTAGTAAGTGAGCCGGTTCCCCTAACGTCACCAAGCTGAAAGTTTAATACAAGTCAGACTGCCTTACAGCCTTGAAAACAGGAGTGAGGGTGGGTGCCGCCCTCACTTAGCCTCGCCTGGGCATTGCTGCCTGAGAGGCAGGCACGTGGAGAGACGTCTCTGGCCCTGGCGGCACAGACGGCTCTGCCGGAGCAGTTTGTGGGGTTAGGGGCGGGACGCAGGGGAAGCATAGGGGTTACTGGCGGTGGACGGTAGCCTCTGGAAGCACTTGGTAGAATACCCATTTCCATTGTAATTGCCTTCCAGGCTTTGTATTCTCATCTGATCCTTTCCACTAGGCAAGAAGTTCTCCGGGAGACCTATGTGCACGCTCCTGAGTAACAAGAGGTACGAGCTGCTGTACAACTGTGGGATCCAGCTGCTGCACGTCGGGAGGCCGCTGGCCGCCTTCGAGTGCCTCATCGAAGCCGTGCAGGTCTACCACGCCAACCCTCGCCTCTGGCTCCGCCTGGCCGAGTGCTGCATTGCTGCGAACAAGGGGGTGAGCGCCGGGAGAGGATGGAAGAATTCCTCCCCTTTTCAGCCCCTTGTGAATGTATAAAGCTAGTCTTCTGTTCTTTCATTTAGACAAAAAAGATTGCACGTCAGACGGTTATTGGTTACGTTTGGGTTAGGGGTAAGCGTGGCCACGTGGCTCAGTAGTTCTGCTGAAATCTTGAAGCCCAGGAGAAGGTCAGGTCTTTGGAACCGTGTTCTGCTCGCTGCCGAGACAGGGTCCACACCATATGCTGGTGTGACAGGTGTGTGCTCCAGGCCATGAGAGAAGGGCTGATGACCGCGTGGTGACACAGAGAGGGTACCATTGTGTAAACTGCACCACCTCCCATGCCTGGGGCTTTTACTTTCATTTCCGTCCATCTTTAGACTCCGTGCATCACCAGGCTGTTTCTTTGACCCTGTGTATGTACATTGGCTCTGAGAGACTGGCCATCTTATAGGGTGTCCATGCCCACAGGATCCCTGAAAGGCAGTGATGGGTGCCTTTTGAATTTCAAGTGGAGCTGTGAGAAGGACAGGTTGTATCAGAGTTCCCACATGTCCCTGTGACCCCCATCTCCCACCCCCAGACAGTAGTCTCTGGGCCATAGGGCTGGAGGTGTGTTATCCTGAGGTTTGACGGAGCAGCAGCTGCTTAAAGCCTGTGAGAAGCACAGCCTGAGGCCGGGGGACTGACTGTCCAGGCAGGCAGACAGGAGAGAGAGCTGCTGTGTGCTGGGCTTGCCTTGTTTCCTGCCTCGGGCATGTGCAGTGTTACGCTTTTTTATCTCTTTTAGGGAACTCTGGTTAACCTTTAGGGGGCTGCACTGACCCCAAAGGCTGGGACTCTCGGGGTTCAGATCTCCCAGCTACTCCACGGGAGCAAGATGGGCGGTCTCCTCCCATGCGATTTACAGCTTCTGAAAACCGGCTGGAGGGTCAGCTTTGAGTCAATCACGACTCTATAGTAATGAGTTTTTCAATTAGCAGAAGTTATTTGAGCTTTTCTGCTTTCCACGGGTTTTGGCTTTCACAGTTTTTCCTGTATTTTTCCACTAGTAGCAATAGAGAGTGCTGACATTTCCCCTGGCAAAGGCAGTAACCCTCTGAGATGCAGGGAGTAAAGGCAGCCCTGCGGAGTTCCCCTCGGACGCTGACAACAACATAGTGAGAAATACATACCCAACAACAGAAGAAGCTTCTCCGGTTTTCAGTTTCTGTTTAGAATTCCATTTCCTCAGCCGTACACGGTTCGAATCCACCAGATGCTCTGCTGGAGAAGGAGCGGCAGTCTCCTCCTGTACCAGTCAGATCTGATTTGACGGTACACACACACACACACACACACACACAATATAAAAATTAGAGAATTCCATTCCCTAAATGGCAAGAATTGTATTCACATAATTCTTAACATACATAGCTTGCTAGCAATTATATATTGTTAGCAATTTAATGAATACTTTCAATTAAGAGGAAGACTTCTGTGGGTGTTATTTTGTGTATTATTTCTGAGAATTCTCAAAAATAGCAGAGTGCCCACTTCCCATGAGGACTCGATAGCAAATCAAACAATTTCCAAAAGACATTTGCCTGCCTCTCATCTCATCTCATCTCATCTCATCTGGGTTTAGGGCAGCACAGAGGCTGCCCTCTACATTCACACTCTGTGGGTCTCTCCTGTCCCCTCCTATAACGTCAGGGTCCCCATAATATGCAGCATGGCGCCTGGGAGGAAGACTGTTCTAAATCAAGCCAAGAGTCATGCTGGAGTGGCTTATTTCCTTAGAATCACTTCAGATATGTTAAAGAACAACACGTATCACATGCTTATACTTTTTTTTCCGACGCTAAACGTTCTTCCTTGTCACCAGAACCTCCATGTAGACGTGAGGACTTCTTCTGTCTATATTAAGTGTGGCAAATCTTTGGTCATCTTTCATGCTCTGTCTTTCAATTTCCCTATGTATATTTCCAGAGTTCAGAACAAGAGACTAAAGGACTTCCAAGCAAAAAGGGAATTGTCCAGTCCATTGTTGGCCAGGGCTATCATCGGAAGATCGTTCTGGCATCACAGTCAATCCAGAATACTGTATATAAGTAAGTATTTTGCAAAGAGAAACTGTGTCTATGTTTGAATGCTGTTTGATGTTTTTAAAAGTATACTTGGGATATGTCATTTCACAGGAGGAACTGCTTTGTGACTAGGAAACTCAGCTGATAGACACTGCCCCCACCCAGTAGTTCCACAATGAATGTTATGTGGCACGTGCTGTTGGTTTTTTCACACGCAGGGACGCTAGTGTTACCTGTGGACTCAGGAACCCTATTTCATCTCACCAATGCCATTATTCAGAATGTCCAGGAGAGGGCATCTTGGTATTTCTTTTGTATATTTTTTAGTTCTTACTGATATTTTTTATTTTGACATTTTCATTTCATTAGGAGGATGAAAATATGTTAAAACTAGTTTCTAGTGGAGGAGGAGAGAAAACTAACACATACAGCAAGCAAAATGATGTAGAAATTGTCTCAGGTAGACCGTTAGCTGAGTGACTTAAACTGGAATGTCTTTATCTTGTACCATGATACAATTTGAGTTGCTATTATTTTTCAGGTAGGAGACTGTATAGAATTCACTACTTCTTTATTTTCTCAAGCAAGAAAATTGGTCACTGTAGTATATGTTTTTCCGGTATTTAAATATTATCTAACACATAGTGGTGTCGTTTTAACGTAACTTCAGTAACAGTAGGTTTGGATATTGTAGCTGTTTTTTAAGGCATCTTTCCTATCATTTCAAAACTTCCTAATTTTAAAAAAACTTTCCCTTGGTGAAGCTTGCTTAGGTTGGTGTATCCAATCAGTAGGAAATGTCAACAAAATAGTAAGAAAAAGATTGTGCAGTTGTTGGACAATTTAGAAAAGAATGTTTTAAAAACAAGAGTCAACCAGAATAAGACTCACCCGTGAATGTGTGAGTTCTCCCTCCTCTTCCCGCGTCTCCGTACCGTCCTTACCTCCTCGGTGTGCCCTGCAGACGGTTCCTTTTTCATTGTGAGCGCAGTGACTTCCAGTTGGTTTAGTTTGTTTTTCCACACTAACATTGACGTTGCAGATACATTTCAAGTTGTCACCCACTCTTTGTCCCAGTCCCAGCCACAGAGTGTGTGTATGTGTGAGCACATTCCATTATTAATAAGAGTTCACGTACTGGATGCTGTTGTCAAGAATTTGACTCATTAACAGTCTCGGCACTAAAATTTCTACCCATCAAAGGGCAGTTTGCATTTTTCGTTGTATTGGTTTTATTTCTGAGAATAGAAAAGCCTTACTTTTATGTGCTAGACTTGACTGACTTGGTGGTTTTTTTTCTCTTTCCTCTTAGCGATGGGCAGTCCTCAGCCATTCCTGTAGCCAGTATGGAGTTTGCGGCCATTTGTCTCAGAAATGCTCTGTTGCTTTTACCTGAAGAACAACAAGACCCGAAGCAGGAAAATGGCTCTAAGAGCAATAACCAGTTAGGAGGAAACACGGAAAACAATGAGAGCAGCGAGACATGCAGGTACCCCCATCCTCTTACCTTCCATGGCAGAAAGCTTTCTGAAATTGACTAGCAGGCCTCGTAATCCATTAGTTATTCCTCGAGGTGTCAGTCTAAAAGTATTTCCAGCAGGATAGAGAAATAAGCTAAACTCTAAGTGAAGAAAAAACTTTGAAAGATAAAATGAAAAACAACAGCTTATAGTTGTCAGTCGTTGCAGAGTTCTGTTGTCACAGGGCTCTCTGGCTGCTGGAAAGTTCACTTCTACACAAAGGTGCTTCAAAATAAAGACCTATGGGAACTCTGGTGGCCTAGTGGCAAGGAACTGCAACTACAATCCCAGAGGCGCACGGTTCGAACCCACCACATGCTCTGCTGGAGAAGGAGGGACAATCTCTTCCTGTACCAGTCAGATCCGATTTGACGGTACGCTCACACACAAAAATAAAAAAAAAAAAATTAAAAAAAACCAACAACAAACAAAATAAAGACCTGTCATCTCCTTCTGAAAAATGAGCTATTAAGATCCAATTGAGCACCCTTCTCTGACACAATGGGTCACCGCGAGCTAGAGTCTACTCAGCAGTAAGTCGTTCTTTCTGTTGCAGTCAGAGGAAGTCTCTGGTGGCCTCGTCCATAGGGCATTGTGTGGGTAACCCAAAGGCAGTGCCTCCTTGGCGGTTCGAATCCACCAGCAGCTCTGTGGGGAATATAGCTGAGCAATCTCCCCTGTGCAATTTACAGCCTCCTGAAACCCGCTGGAGGGTCAGCTAGGAGCTGGTTTGATCAGAGAAGGCAGTTTTTATTTTATTGAAATAAATACTCAAGGAGCTCTGGTAGCCTAGTGGCAAGAAACTGCACTGCAATCCCAGAGATATGTGGTTCGAATCCACCAGATGCTCTGCTGGAGAAGGAGGGGCCATCTCCTTCTGTACCTGTCAGATCCAATTTGACGGTACACACAGACACAAAAATAATAAAATAAAAAAATTTAAAAAAAAAAAGAAAGAAATACTCAAGTCCTGAAGCTTCTCATTTCTTATTAACCTTTACTTTTTCTCTAACATACTGCATACCACTAGCCTCCAGAATATATCTGTATGTTTATTTTCTAGTATCATTTGAAAATCATGCCATTCTATAAACAGTGGGAATGTCTATCTAGTAATAACCAAACAGACACCATTATGTTTAGGAAGTTCTGCTTCTTATACATGATATCTTCAAACTTAAATCTTGAACACCAGTATTTTTTCTTTATTATGTGTACACCAGGGATGTGTCCTATCTCCATAACTTTTCAATCTATATGTAGAACAGATTATCCAGGAGGTTGGGCTCTATGAGGAGAAATGTGGCATCAGGATTGGAGGAAGATTCGTCAATAATCTATGTGTTATGCAGATGACACACCCTGCTTGTTGAAACAGGAGGACCTGAAGCACTTGCTGCAGAAGGTCAAGAGCTGAAGCCTTCGGTATGGATTGAGGCTCAACATCAAGAAAAGATTCTCACCACTGGACCAATTGGCAGCATCAGGATGGATGGTGAAGAGATTGAGATTGTACACAGCTTTAGTTTGCTTGGCTCCACAGTCAACACTCTTGGCACCAGCAGCCAGAAAATTAAAAGACGTATTGTGTTGGGAAAGTCTGCTGTCAGAGACCTCTCCAAAATACTAAAGAGCAATAGAGCAATGATGTCAGTCTGGACACTAAGGTGCGCCTGATTCAGGCCACAGTCTTTGCAATCACTTGCTATGGATCAGAGCGCTTGACAATGACTAGGGATGATAGAAGGAGAATTGATGCCTTTGAGCTGTGGTGCTGGAGAAGAATATTGAATATACCATGGACTGCTAAAAGAACAATCTGGTTTGTCCTGGAAAGGGCTAAACCAGGCTGCACCTTGGAGGCAAAGATCCTGAAGCTTCTCACATACTCTGGACATGTTGCAAGGAGGGACCAGTCCTTGAAGAGGGATGTCATGCTTGGGAGGGTGGAGGAACAGCGCAGGAGAGGGAGACCCACTTATGAGATGGATTGATTGACTCAGTGACTTGGGTAATAGGGATAGGTGTGTCAGAGACAGTGAAATTGGCACAGAATAGAGCAGAGTTTAGGGCTATTGTACATAGGGTCGCTAAGAGTCACAAGCAATTCGAAGGCACATAATAATAACAACATAACAGAAATATAGGATTATTATAGAAAATTTGAGGTAAAATTGTGATCCTTTTTCCTCATTGAGAAAGTCAGGTTTTAAGGTAGTCTGCAGTAATGAGGTGATTAATATACTATCCCTGAGGAAAAGACAGACACAGAGAAGGATAGAGACAGTCATGGAAATCAGAATTATAGGGAGAAAATGGGGAAAATGCAATTACATTGTGGGCATTGACATTAATGTGTTAGATACAAAGTGGATATAAATGAGTAAATGAAAAAGTAACTGTTTTTATAAACCATGCACATCAGAATAAGTATCTTTTTTAAAAAAATAATGGAACTCTTGGGGGGGAAAATTTTTTTAAAAAAATTAATGTTGGACTGTAAATCAGTGAGAATGAGAGATACATGAAAATATTGGTCATTTCCATCAGATAATAGAGATACTGTGATAAGTTAGAGATTTTTCTTTTCTTGTTGTGTACCATCAAATTGGATCCAACTGGCACCAAAGGAGATTGCCCCTCCTTCTCCATTGGATCATCTGGTGGATTTCGAACCGCATGCCTTTGGGATTGCAGCACAGCTTCTTACCACTAGGCTACCATGGCTCCCTAAATCAGAAATTTTTAATATCACTTTGCACACTAGGTAAAATGACACCAAATTACTGGACATTGTCATTATTTTTACTTTTCTTTTATCATTAAAAGTTACATGGGAATGAGGATAAATAAGTAAAATTTTACATTTAATTGCTTATTTTTTTTCTCTTCTTAATTAAGAATGTGTATTTATTTCAGCAGTAAAAGCCATGATGGGGATAAATGTATTCCGGCTCCCCCTTCTTCTCCACTGAGGAAACAAGAATTAGAAAACCTGAAGTGAGTATGAGCTAAGCAAAATTAACATCACCTCTCCTGAGACTTGCACTGTTGGGAAGCAAGCTTTACCCACTTTCTATATGGCAACGGTCTAACAGAAATATAGTACAATGTTACAAAGTGGATACCGACATTGAGACAGTTATGATACAAATAATATAGCTTGTTCCTTTTTTTTCTGTGATTCTAAAAATGGCATGCTTGACTTTTCCTCCACTGAAGGAAAGGCCCTAACTTGTTTTCAACTTCAGGTGGTTTTTTGTTTTGTTTTGTTTTTTAATGTATTTAATTTATCATTATTATTAATTTTAACAAAAATTTGCAGAGACTTAGGGTTTCCATTCATTGATTGTTGCACTTTTTTCCATGCCCACTCCTCACCCCCAGTTCGCTCTTCTCTTTTTTAAAAAATTTTTTTTTTATTATTTTATTATTTTGTGTGTGTGCGTGTACCGTCAAATCGGATCTGACTGGTACAGGAGGAGAGTGTCCCTCCTTTCCTGGCAGAGCATCTGGTGGATTTGAACCTTGTACCTCTGGGATTGCAGTGTAGCTTCTTGCCACTAGGCCACCAGAGCTCCCCTTCGCTCTTCTCTTTGAAAAGTAAAATTCTTTGTTGTATAATCCCTCCCCCCAAGCCCACTCCATTACATAGCTCCTGTGAATGTCCTCCTGTGAAGGTCACACACACTTGGCCTTCACTCTTCGGGACCAGGGCTCAGGAGTGCTGTGGCAGGGTTGTAGGACAATTTCCTATTTCCTTTTTTAGGGAAGAAAAAAGAGTTTCCCGAGTAGCCATATGTGACTCAGTTTCTCCATTTCCTTGACATTTGAAATCATCATTAGTTTTTGTCTATGGTGATGGTAAAATAGACATCGGGTATGGGCAGTGGTTACACAGATTGACTAATGTAACTGATACCACTACGTGAGATAACAGAACAATAGAGAAAATATATGTTCTAAATAATGTTACAACAGCACCAAAATCAAAGACACGAGGGGAGGATGCAGATGTGGTTACTACGGCAGTGTCGCCAACCCCCTTATAGGATTCCTGTTCTTGTCTTGATGGCTTAGGATCGTGCTTTCCTAAGTTAAAGCGATCAAATGACCTAACACTGTCCTGAATTTCTCTTCTACCTTTACTAGAGTTGGTGCAGAGGGAGCTAACATGGGTGAAATGTGGTATAAGGTGCAACAGTGACAGCATTGGGGAAAATGAATTTGCCTCCCACCCCACAAAAGCATACTTTATGTGCATTATGGCCAATGGATTGCTTTAGTTACCATGGCTAGAGGTATTTTTGTTTTATCAATCCACCTGCATGTTATGTTCATCTATTTTAATAGGTTGTTTTGTATTATCAAAATCTTAATACCACCAAAGGTTGCAAAGTGTGAAGTCAGTCTTGTCCCGTCTTGGCCTTCTTTTTCCTCTCCCAGGAAGGCTGGCAACTGGCCGGTATGTGGATGTGATTACAATGAATTGTCTCAGTCCTGTCCCCATGTATGTGTATATTACTATGTTTTTGTTTTCTACACAAATAATTGAAAAGTCTCCACACTACTCTATTCCTTTTTTTTTTTGTCACTTGACCATTAAGAGCTGATTTGAAAAGTCCAGTGTTCGGTGTCCTCCTTGTCAGGGGATTTGTGGAATCGCCTTCCATGAGTCATGGGTGGGACAGTTTATTTTTATTTTATTTTATTTTATTATTTTGTGTGCGTGTACCGTCAAATCAGATCTGACTGGTACAGGAGGATATTGCGCCTCCTTCTCCGGCAGAGCATCTGGTGGATTCGAACCGTGTTCCTCTGGGATTGCAGTGCAGGGACAGTTTATTAAGAGCTGTGTGAATAATGTGTGCATTGTTTTATCATTGTGAAAATATATTGATAACATCTGCCAGTTCGTCATCTTCCACATCATTTTATGCATTTTAAGGATCATCTTTTACTAAAAAGATGTTTGAGAGAATTTGAATGAATGCCAGTCGTTAGAATTGCTTTGTTTACGTATCCGTTTTAAAAAGTATAGTATTCTGTAGTGGCTGGATTGCACAGTTTGACTTTGCCTCCTGAGAATGGCATCACCGGGAACAGTGCATGCCCTGGGGACCTGCTCAAAGGGTCTGTTCTTTCCATGGTGGATAGTGCGCTATGCCTTCGCACAGTCCATACGCCTTAGCAGAAGGACAGATTTTCAGAGAAAATAAAATGACTTCGCTGGTTTTTTAGATGGGACAGAGGAGATCTATTGCGAATCCCAGCAGCATAAAGGAAAACAGAGATGAATTCACTAGTCCATATTAACCTTTTATTCTTATGGAGCAGATGGGGCAAAGGAAGCGGCATGGATGGAAGGAGCTGTAGGTAGCATAGACAGATCAGAAGCTGCTGCTGAAGGCAGTAGTGATGGTCCTGTGCAGACATCTGGAACAGGGCAGGAGCTGTTAAAGATTCATGTCATCATTGTCAGCTGTAACGTTCCCCACGCAGTGGACATGTCAAAGGGTAGTTCTGTGGCCGAGTCACCTGTCTCCTGTGGACAGAGCTGAGGCTCACTGCCTGGCTGTCCAGGTTGTGGAGTTCTTAGAAATACCATCTTTTGACCTGAATTCTTTTATGTGATTGGAAATGTCAAAGGGCTTTTCTGCGGTGGAGAGGAGAACATGGAGAGGGCAAGGCTCCAGGTATTGTTCACAGGGTCGTGAACTTGATAATGCAAGGCCCCATTTCCTCCTCCCAGCATCACTAATGTGTAGGAAGCTGCCGTGGATTAACCTGGTGACCACCTCTTACGGTGCCGATTCACAGCTTCTCAAGGAATTTATTTTTGAAATAATATTAACGATAGGCTTTATTCCGTTTTAAGTTTTTTTCAAGTCCTTATCTCCCCTGATCCTATGTCTACACAGATGATGACAGGTCTTAAGAATGATCATTTTAGGAAAATTACATGTTTGTTTTCAGAAGACAGGTGTTAGTTGTCAGATTCTGTACCAAAATCCATGAAGCGTTCAGAAAATGATCTCACAATTGAAACAGAAATTTGTCCCCAGAACAAAGAAATGCCTCAGGAATCAGTTCAACTGTTCAGTCTCCCAGAGGAACTTGTTTGTTATGTGTGGATGTGCCAGTAGTTTTCAGTGATAGTAAATTATGTAGGAGAAGATGCCAGTCTTTGTCCCACAAGAGTCAAACTGTGTGCCTTAGGGTCGGCAGCCCAACTTCTCACCACTAGGCCACCGGCGCTCCCTCAGATGAACTTCTTGTTTTGTTGTGTACTATAGAGTTGGAGCCCACCCACAGCTGACCCTCCAGGGATTTCCAGAGGCAGTTAATCACACGGGAGGAGTTTGCCCATCCTTCTCCGTCAGAGCAGCTTCTAGCTTCTAACTGCCTCTCAGACTGCAGTACAGCTTCTTGCCACTAGGCCACCAGAGCTCCCTCACATGAGCTCGTTGTTCATGTGCCATCGAGTCAAGGTACTAATATAATGAGTGGCTGTCTGTTAAAACGGTGCCTTTGTTGCTGAAACCACTTAAACCCCAGCAGAAGCACGAGGCCCTTTCAGTCTGGCAAGGGGAGCCAGAGGGCTTGTGATAGTTGTTCTCCAGCCTCCGGTTAATGAATGCTATGACTTTTAGGTTTTTTTTTTAAAAAAGTAGTTTGTTTACCCTAAAGAGTTGAACACTGGTCCACACTAGATTTTCATAGAAGGTTACCCATCCTAGCCAAAAACCGGATATCCATCATGCGCTGATTGGGTACCTGAGCTGTAGACCCCGTGTGGTGGGTGTCTGTTGGAATATTAACCTGAGGCCATGCAGTCGGCTCCTGCTTACGGCAACCCCCAGTGTGTCGGGCAGAGCTGGGCTTCCTGGAGTTCCCAGGCTGTTTTGTTTTCCTTTGTTTGGAGTACTGAACTCCTTGCTGTTGAGTCAGTTCCAACTGTTAGTGTCCCTATAGGACCGAGTAGAACTGTCGCATAAACTTTCCAAGCTAAGTCTTCACAGAAGCAAATGATCACATCTTGGTCCTAGGGCAGAATTAGTGGCTTCAAACCACAGATCTTTCGCATAAGCTGAGCACTTAACCCTGGCCCCCAGAGCTCTTTTGCACAGAACTGCTCATATATTACTGATTGACACACATGACTGACTCATGAAACATGTTTATGTCTGGCACCTTTTAGAATAATGTGTACACTGTGTGATTGCATTTCTATAAATTAAAGAACAGGCCCAATGAATTTGTGGTGACAGCATCAGAACAGTGGCTGGGGATGTAACTGAAAGGAGACTTTAGGGTGACGTGTTCTGTGGTGACCGTGGTGTACAGTCTGCCATATGTCCTGACGATATTACGAGTGGTTGCCACATCTGTTCATGTGATGTTCTTACACAACATCTGGTTATGTTTTATGGGTCTCCGCCTTCTTTTCCCTTTTCCTTCTTTTAAGGAGTTTTTGGGTAGCATGGATGCTGAGAGCTGGACTGCTCACCAAAGCCAAAGGCCCTGAAGCCACCTGGACACCTCGTGGCCTCTTTAGCGATGCCTCTGAGTTAAGCTGCTGGAGAAAAGCACTAAATCTCCTTTGGCTGCCAAGTGAGCATATCTTGTAGAGGGTGCGGCCCAGGTGCTGCTTAGAGGGAAGAAGGGTGAAACTCTGCCTCACATTTCTTTTGGACAGGCTCTTAGGTAGGGCCGGTCCTTGAAAAAGAACATCGTCCTCAGAAAAGTGGAGGGTCAGCGAAGGAGGGAAAGATCCTGCGTGAATGGGTGGACGCAGTGATTCTAACAGTGAGCTGGAGCAGGGAGGAGATGGTGGCCTCTGGGGACCTACCAGGAAGAAGCTGCCCTGCCAACCCGAAGGCAGGGGTTCAAATCCACCGGCTGCTCCGAGTGAGAAACATGGACAGTCTCCTCCTGTGTGATTTTTACAGCTCTGAAAACCCGCTGGAGCGTCAGCGATGAGTTGGTTCTGACTCGAT